ATGACTACCGCAATCCACTTGAGTTTCACTGGCACGACAGCCCATTCTGGTGGGGGGGGGACGAACATATATTGGACCATCCAAAACGTATTGCTGTTAGTTTTTATTCAGTGCCAAGCGGATACCACGACGCACCCAAATCATTTCATTTTGAAAACAAAAACTCATTTTCGGTTGTGAGATTCATTAGGAACTGGTCGTTGGGATCATCGAAAGGGAACACCCTATGCATTACAGGGGAGAGGGGAATTACTTTCTATTATATCATTTTGTAGGAACCAGTGAGGCCACTTATGAAATGAGTAAATCGCTCATTGAGATGAATCGGTAACCAAATCTCTGAAATTGGGATTGGCCACCCAAAAGGATACATGTGTGCTATAAACTCGGGTTTCACGTACCCTGTCTAAAACCGACTGTAGCCCTCATTAACCAAAACAAGACAAACCGTTCTAAACCCCATCCAAGCTGTTCAATGAGAAACATGGAAACAGGGGATTTTACACTTGTTGATTTTCTGAGTGGACAGTGTGCTTGCATTCCTTCTGTAAGGTCTCGTGTTCAATCCCCAGTTAGGTCGATGGATTCACCCGCTGTGCTGACGAGACCCAACCAGGTCGTAACACCTGTCCAGTGCTTCCCAACTTTTCGGTTCACGATTCATTTGCTCTACTATACACAACGAATTCCTTTAATGGAAGTTATATCTGTTACTGCACAGTTGTTGAACGCAAGACCGTTATCATTTTCCGCGCTGATAGGGTTCTACGGATAATAGAGTCGAACAGAAAAACTCCCTGCTTCTGAAAAGCTCTGAAAAGTTTGACATATATCAAACATCTTAACATTTACCTTGCTGACTTCTAACAGTCTCCGATCTCATGTTTATTTGCAGTTCTACCCTGCATCAATGTGATGTCTGCTGATACTTTTCTTGTACTCCAACCGGGACCAAACACTGCAATTTCCCCATTCAACTAACACTCAGAAATAAACAATTCACTGGAGTTTGGACGATGAACCATTTTTTTATTACACAGTGTTATGTGAAGCGGGCCAATCCCTGTAGTCACCAGGACCAACAGTTCACTAATTGGACCCAGAAATGTAAGCCGTGGGACTCGGAATGGCGAAATACAAAAGGCCACACTACCACAGTGAGACAGCTTAGCACAAATTTTGGTGGTGGTGATGAGTTTTGAATCTCCGACCATGGAACCCATAACGCATCAGTAACAGCGACTTAAACCACTTGAACACCAATGCCCTGTTTTGAACAGGTTAATAATCCTTTTCAATGAAATTCTTGGTAGCAATATTACGGTGCATGCATGGCGAATGCGAAAAGCAGAACCCACTTGGACAATAAGACCTAGATCTGAAGAGCTCTGCTGGTTTCTCTAATTCCCACAAGAAGCCTTGGAAATCAAACTCTGTGTCATTGATGAATGATTCGTTTCACGTTAAAAGAATTTGTTCCTGTCTAGATCCCGTTCGAATTGACCGAAACAGTAGCTATGGATTTATTGTTATCGGGTCCCTCATTCTGGTTAGAGGTGTGATGGCTTCGATGAGCCAAACTCAGGGCCACAATGAATGCAAAATAAACTCAGTAATTTTGACGATTATTTTTTAGGCCCCTCTTGATTGCAAATGGTTTGACGCAAAATCTAATCTAGAAAGTTTTCGCATCAGCTTTCTCGCTCACTGAAGATGTCCTGCAGCTAAATGCGTTCGTTCTGTCCAAGAGAATTGTGACACTGACCACCGACGCTACCGGATCAATATAAAACTTACCTTACGATCCGCATTTTTCGGCACGTATGTGTCTCCGTGTCGAACTCCGGCATCCCACGGGAACAGATCAATCTCCAAATGTTTCACCCATGTACAATCAGCCTGACACACTGACTGGCTGGCCACACCGGCGCACCAGTTTGGACTTGGTCCTAGCATGGTGAGAAACGAGATTAGTGGATGCGTGCGATTCACACCCACGAGGGTCGAACGGGACTCATTCAGCGTGGCCTCACTCCACATTCCGGGAGTGGAGATCAAACTGTGCAACGGACCGATACCGATCGCGCCTCGTTGTGTCCCCGTGGGCACACTACTCACTGACCCAGAACTGCCTGCGGTTGCCGCGGCCATGGTTAAGGACTGCTTGAGCACTGTCGTATCGCCGTAAGCGCAGACCGCGGAAACCCCGGCACTGGCAGGCTCACCGAACTGATAAATTCGGTAGCTTGGCATGTGACTAGCTCCAATCAGATTGGTCCAATGCAATAGGCCTGGATTGTGCACGGGCCAATCACGAGGATGCGTTTCTCTAGTCCACAATCCCTGAAACGTCAGATTGTATGTGGCCGTTCCACATGCACAACAGTCCTGCGGTTGCATAATGTCCATGTTCATGGTGCTTTTGGGTGAGATTTTGTGCATTGGTGCTGAGTGATAATTGGATTTCAGTTTGTTAGCCTTGTGTTCCGTTGACTTTCGCCCAGATTCCATAGGTGATGCGACCATGTAGGCCGGCAGTACTGGACTAGGCGGACGGGATGTATCGGGACACAGGGTCTTCATTAGTCCACCTACGGGGCAAATAGAAGAGGGGAAAGCCGTATTTACATGAACACTTTTGAGTTGGATTTAGAATCTTTCTATTCTATAAATAAGCTGCAAATAGAATTTGGAATGGTCATAACTGTACAGCTGAAACCCCAATGTGTTGTCTTTATTCCCGAACTCTCATAGCCGTCATTTTGGTGAATTTGCTACTGTAGAGATGCATTGATCTTCATAAGAATGTGCAACACTGACAAGAAAACAAATTTCGGACAATAGGAATCTCTAAACGCATTTTCCATTGCTTGAACATTAGCAGAAAACAGTATAAAATGGTTTTGATGTGATAATTTCTTTCGATATTGATTTCTGAGCGATAAATCACCTGAGGGCACTATTTGTTTTCAACACTACACGTTTCCAAATGTTTGAACACTTCACTCCTAGATCGGCTGATTAAAAATGAAGTTCAGGGAAATGATCGATGCGTCCATGGATTCACGAAGTCCGGTACTGTAAATTTACTAGAAACTTCTCGTGAGGAAGGTTTATACATAAACCTTGAAGTTGCTGACAGTCGCATCTTACCAACAACACAATCCGACTATTTGAGGTAGGGAAGAAAAATAACTCTGAAAATGAATTAATTCACGTCTGAAGAACCTAGTTATTATCTTTCATCGCGTTTCATCCGTTTCATCCACATTCGAGGATATATGTAGAAGAAAAAATGTAGTTTGTGAAAACTCAATCAGTCTCCGAAATGATGCTTAGAACTGAATTCATTAGCCAACTAATTTGCACACTTGACACAAACTGGGGAGAAAGTTACTAGTCAAAGTATTTTACCATTGAAGCACTGTGCAGTGAGATCGCATTAAATCCTGTCACGGATGACACCTCACTCTCATCAGACCACCGCGTGAGGGATGGTCCCACTGACATCACGAATATTGACTATAATCCCTTTTTGTCACGTTCAATCTGTAGTTCCTATACATGTGCCCGGTAAATCGATTCTGACAAGTCACAATCAAACTTTTCACAGTTCGGTGACTCGTGCGTTCTCTCTGATTGAGAATAAGTCGACCAAGGGTGTTTTCATGCAACGAGAACGTTAGAAGAACTGTACAGATTTGTATTCCGGGGAGTGGTACACATCCATCCGTATCTGTGTCCTGGTCAGTCTCCCGGACATGTGTTCTTTGTTTCCCCGGGAAGCCTCCAGAGTTTAGTTGGGCGTCAATTTAGAGGATGCAGTGTTCATTCAACCCTACCTACGGTTGGACTTTGGTTACCATTACTTCATATTGAGATAGCACATTTTTACATTGTATCGTATTTTGTATTGTATTGTGTATAACTTTTGCAAGCACTGGAGCTCACATTTCAGTTAAAAAGCATACACGCTAACCGTCACAATGTACATAATCAACCGGGGAGAAAAATTTTCACAGACATGAACACATGAACACATTAATGCTTTGTCACATAATATCAACATGAAATCGATCTCTGCAGATTAAACGTGCCGGTTAGGACTCTTCACGAGAGGACCGAACCTCCACAAAAAAGATCCTTGATAGAAACTGTGCATTAAGTAACCCTATTCATCACCTAACTTGGTGAAACATTTGTACAGGGTTCCCAATACTCTATTTGTGCATATGGCTTCGGATGACAAAGCAATTTAAAACCAGAAATCATTTCTGCTACTAGAAGGAATCTGCGTGTATTATTTCATTTTGTGGTGTTGACTACAGGCACATGCGCAAGCACGAAAATTCCTATCTGAAAGACCACACGAGGAGTGTCTTCAACCCCATCGACTACTGAAGCCATTGGTAAACCCCAAAACTGATAGATTCAGATACATACAGACATGATTACAGAACAGCCACAGAAGTAAACGCTGTCTGCATGTGTGAAACTCGTTCTTGTTTGTTTGTATATGTGATTGTTTGAAAAAGAATTAGGTCTTATTGAATTCCGAGTGGGAAGAGGATTGACAATCGCGCACGTACCTGCGTTTCCATAGAGGCTGTTATAACCACCGCGGACACGTACGGCACCGTGAATTGTCACACAGCCCAAATCTTTCGCTGTCGTCCCTCCACACTCGTCCGGTAGAGTGAATTCTTTGGGAGCTCGCCAACGGAGTACCAGGTGCGTGACCCAGGATCGTATTTGACCCTGTCGTTCAACCGTGGCACCGCGACAACCGGGACGTATTTGCATTGATAAATATCCCCCGGTCATGGGAATCCATTGACCTAATCGTTGCGGATAACTGTTGCAACGGTTAGTCAAGTTGCGAACCTGTTTAAGAAAGACATATGCTATATGAATCGAGTTAGTTTAGTCGCGACTTGGTGAACAAAACTTATCAAAAGATTTTTCAAAAACTCTTACTCATTTTTTTGTTTTCTTCCAGGTTGTCGGTAGCCATTTTTCGTCTTTTTCCCTCAGTTGTGAGTTTTTAGGCCAAGTTTAATTCCCAGAAGTAGTCATGAAGCAATGGCTTGTTTTTACTAGCAAGCATTGCATATGAAGGACACCCAAAATCGTTGACCGATGTGGTTTTTCCGACCGAAGCATCCGGAAACGATTGTTAATTGATACTCAAAAAATAATACATTCCTGTTCTGCACAGATGTTACAATAATATGCTGAGTTATGTTTGAGATACTACTTGTATTTCCTCTGTAAGAGAGGTACTGTAATTTCCAACTTTTCCATCTTCCATACTCAGAAATGATTAGACAAAACGGAACTTAGTGCGATCATTACAGATAACGACATGAGCAAAACTGGACGAAACTTTAAAACAAAGCTCTCCTAACTCTCCAGGCTAATTCGACGTGAAGTAGTTTTCAAATGGTGCTAATTTGACAAACAGACTGACAGACAGACATAGACAGAAAAATCGATAGACTGTCAAATGAAATGCCAGACGCGGCTTGATCCACACTTTATGGAATTTGAATCCTTTTAGGCCTCGACCGAATCGTTTGCATACGGATTGAGTCAATGTTTCTCTTGTCTGAAGGGGGCATGACAAGCAGAACATAGTTCGTACTTCCCAACCCCAACGAATCGGACAGAAAAGGGCACTGTCTGGGGGGAAAGTATTTCACACAATGTTTCACATGTATTGTGCAACTTCAATATGGAATTGGGAAAAACGATCAAAACCATGTTCTGTTCTCCTCGTGAAACCAAAATCAAGAAGGAAAACAAGAAAAGAACAAGTGTAACCATGGCGACAGTTCGAGACAATCTTTTTGGGGCTTTGTTCTTCCGTTCCCCCAAGGTCATCGTGTATAGATTAAATGACACGAGGTAGAGCCAGACACAAAATAAACGTGGAATTTTACTACCGACAAGCTTCTAAATCAAAAGAAAACTGTCCTAATTGTAGAAAACAAACAAAAGAATTGAAAATAAATTCTACATGCAAAGCAGTTGCATCATGACCGCTTGTCGTGTATTCGTTAGCCAATTATATAGATTCACACGCATTCTTGCATGGGTTCATGGGCAACCCTGGTGATTTTTGTTTGCTTTTGGAGCAATAATGCGCAACGGCTGTCAACTCTGTGTGTGTTGCATGCGCTTTGTTCACAACGCATCATCCATATGGAACATGAGCATCACTTGTCGGTGTCTATTTGGACGTGAGCTGACTGAAAGAAGCGTGTAATGCACACACACACACACACACACACACACACACACACACATAACTTGGTCATAGTGCGCCGTGCTCGCATCTACTCAGTGTGGCTCGTGGCGTGATCCNAACCGGTAGGCTAACTACTGTCTTTGCCCACAGGGTAACTGATCGCATGGGGTAACACAGTATAAAAATAGAAAATCCCCCAATTTGGTTTCGCAAATGATTAAACATCACGTGAGATAGACTCCTTCCATATTCAATCAGTTTATTGTCCTCACTTTCAACTAATCTTTGGTCGACTATTTTTTCAGTTTGGTTTATTGAATGTAAAACACGAATCGAGTACGGCTGTTCCTTGATTGTACAGACCTTTAAATCGGATAAATTTTAAGTGTTTTCTATTTCCGGATGGAGCAACTGATTGCGCTGTGATATGATACAGTCGATCGGATGAAGTTTATCAACAAAGTGATTTCTCTCTCTCGCGCGCGCTCTCTATCTCTCTCTCTCGAGAGATATTCACCAAGGGCCGGCAACTAGTTTTACTTGAGTAATCTATCTCATGTAGACAAAAAGACCGACACACACGTGTGTGTGTGTGTGTGTGTGTGGTTCACTTACTTCCGGACTAACTGTGACTGACTTTTGCATCCCAGGCATCATACCCATTTTCATCTCGGCCTCATCCGTCCCCGGTTCCATCCACAAAATCGCATCACGAAAACCGATCATTTGTAATCGGTTAGTCAAAGTCACAATATACTCCCGTCCCGGTTCGTACCAGCCACTGACCATAATCCCATCCACTGCTCGACGAACTCGGATCTCGAATCCGTTGTCCTCTTCTTGCATTTCCATTTTGGTCTCCGTGGTGGCTCGACGTCGTAGTCGAGTTCGAGTCCTTGTCCCGTCATTTTCGTCCCCATGAACTTGTATACTGGTCTTCAATAGTTTACAACGCTCTGGTAAACCTGTCCATGTCGACGGAACTCCCGCCGTGTGTGCGATAGCGAGTACCAGGAGAAACAGCACTGACCATAGCATCGTTAGTTGGTGCTTTGTGCACAAAAACAATGATGGGTGTCTTTTATTATTCTGATGCGCGCTCGTCCGCCATGCATCTGTGCAGGCGATCGCGCTCGTGGGCGGATTGGTTTACCGGGTGATGGACCGGTGAAAACCGGCCAATCGTGTGATGATCACGTGAGTGCCTTGCACGCACACACACATTGGTGACGCAGATTAAAAAGAACTAACTTTGTGTGCTGTCCGTGGGCGGTAACGGTCAAACAATTGCAGCGAGTCATACCAGCTGATTTCACTCCGTTATCCGCCCTTGGTGTAATTTAACACGGAAAATATGAGCGTGATTCATTCGCCGGTGCAGCACCTCGTGTGTGTCTGTGTGTGTGCATTCGTGCGTGAAAATGATTGTATACCCGATGGACGGGTTCAGTCGAAAAATTTACACTTGTGGGAAATAGTTAGGGAAGAAACTTCCTTTTGGATACATGACTGAACTTGCCAAGATGTGAGATAATTGATATATCCTGAACTCAATCAGCATACTGTCAAAACTCGAAATGTTTTCCTTGCGTGATCAAGAGAAATAAAACCTGAACGCTTTGGGTAGCATTTCGTCGGCCGGTCTAAAAAATTTCATCTTAATTCGTTTCACTTAGATAAATTATCACATTAGAGCGAAAGTAGTAGCTCCTTTCTCTCTTTGGACTGTTGGTTGGTCGAAGTGACAAACTGCTCAGGGGTCACTGGTTCGAATCCCGATCACTGTTCGTAGTTCCATATTGAATTGGTTGCAGTTCCGTTCTTAGAGTGTGCCAATGGCACACAGGTAACGGAGTTGGTTTCCAATGGCGGTTGTGCGTCGGAACATTTCGGTTTATTGCTCCTATTGATGTGGCCTGATTACCTGGTTAAAACATCCTTCCAGCTTTTTTCAAGTCATTCCATGATGGCAAAGCTTTATTTAAACTCTAATCGATTTTCTTCTGATAGCCTCTGATTGCCTGCCAATTCCTCCTGGGACACATGAGTGCAGTCTATTTGAAACTGTTTATTCAACTGATCTTGATTTTCGATAATCAACCGTTATGGACACTCATTTCTTTGCTTTTCTCGACGGGCGGTGAGGAAGGTTATAGAAATGACTTTGCTTTCTTGATTATACAGTTATGCTCCCTGTGCTTTGGATCTCTACATATTACCTGTCTTCCATTCTGAGAATGCGCCGTCGTTGTCAATCATGTCACGCAGGAAGTAAGAGGAACACACATCTAATGAGATCATGGCCAAATAGTTTGTACAGGAAGGATGAGATTATCAACCGATGTCTATTCTTGCCGAGTGGCGTAGACAGTTACGATTGAAATGTAATCACTTTTCTCAGTGCGTATCACGTCATACCTTGTCGGGCTGTTNCCCCCCCCCCCCCCCCGGACCCGCGCATCGGTCTCCTCGAGGCAGTGGGAGTGATTGAATCTTTCGTGAATGTGAATAGAGCAGTTCGTGTTTGATGGACGAAACTCCGTTCGCTTTCGAGCTACTGACAAACACGATTGCTGGAATGCGAATTTAAGTGATTGTTATGTTCAACCTAGGCGTATGATCGATACGAGAACCCTTGACTAGCCTCCAAAAATAATACGGAGGGAGAACACGCCTGGAGAAAGGAAAGAGTGTATTATTGATCATGGTGAGATAAGCAAACATAAGTGGTAAATTGGGCATATGAGAACGATGTGCTGACGCACCAATCTGATCGCGTCCATGACACTCCGATTAATCGATCGGACGACAGCTGCCTGATTCGCCTTAGTCATCCAATCCGGAATCGATTCGCCTTTGGGTGTCACGAAAGCACTTGTAGTGCGACGCAGTTGCATGAGAGGTCTGCAGGGTTCAGTGCGCTCCTTCCCAACAGTGATGTTTGCTTTTTTCCTGAGCTTACTAGCATCGCCGTTGCTTTCCCAGCTTAAATTGGGCAACTGTTTGATCAGTGAATAGAGTGGTGCAAATATTGAAAATAAACGACCGCTTGCTACATTCATACACAGAAGAACGGCGCGGCATAGTGTATGGAAGTGAACCTGAATGAATCCAATGTGTAAAGATCCAGTGGGATTCAATGAGCATCAGCTTTGTAATTTACCCACAATATAAATTTGAGCTTGACAGGCATTGGTCAGATTTTTCATGCATGGTTTACCCTAAAAATGTCTTCTTCCATTCCACCGGAGGGTTTGACGGAAGTTCCTGTTGGAAACAATTTCCACATGATCATTTCCCTTTCCAATTCCTTAAATGATGTCTTCTTTTCAAATTCGTTTGCAGCCAAGGTTTACCGGTCCTATCGACTTCCCGTTCGACCAGTGAACGATATGCGTTTTCTGCTTTGTATGCATGATCGGGGTGGCACCCAGTATTTTCTGTTATCAGATATAACGTCCACTACAAACAATGAATCACATTCTGAGATTGAACTTCCTTCCACAAAATATCTGCTGAAGGAACTCTACGATATTCATAGGATAAATATTGCAATTGCAGTTAGGAACGTGGACATGTATATGCGTCTTGTTCTTTTCTCATTTCTCATCTCCAAATGCATTTTTTATTCAAACATTGAGATGAATATACGAGGACCTTGAAGTTATTTCCTTTTGTGTGACACAACATCTTCCAGCTTAGGCACAAGACAGTCAACTTCAGTATTTCAGTTTGAACGCAACTATGGTTTCCATGCTCCATTTCTTGTGTTCTGTTTTCGAGGTTGAGCATGTACCGTTGGTAATCTCGATACGCGGCTAAGTCAGCCAGTCCATGGAGATACTTCTTTTCTCTTGTACTCACCACAGTCCGCTCTGTGTTAACAGGATTCTGTAGAAAAAGTCGTGGACTTCATACGTGACCGCGGCTAGCTTTTCGTGGGGTAGTAATATACAGAGACAGTTATAAAGTCGTGGATGCATGTAGCCTCCGCTCACACTAGGTATAAATGTACGGAGTTGAAATGTCGCTTTGGTGCAGCAGGCGTGTGTGGAGTTGTTATGGTATAAATCGGTGAACCGCGAAATAAATTTAAATATACGAATCATCCATCCGACCGATAGTGTGTGAAACTTTGTTCTGGGCATCGGGCTTTGACAGTGACGGAGAGGTTCATCCATGAGGTGTTTCCAGTTAGGGTGAGAATACTCATTTACGGGCATATTTGTCTATTTTCCATCCTCGAACTAATTCCAATCACTCTAACGGTATGAAAATCTCAGTAGCCTTCTGATTCCAAATGGATTAATTTATCCTCGAATGGAGCAGTTTCCAATGTTTTCAAAATGTCCACTTTCATCAAGTCTGTCCCGTATATCCCGCCGCCGATGAAGACCAATTTAGCCTCCTCTGCTATCATTTGCAATTGACAGAATATTGTGAGTAGTGACTGGTGTTTTAAGCTGATCTGGACTAATCGTAGCTTATTGTCATTAAACTGTTGCCGTACAGAAAGGTTTCTTTGCTCATTCATGAAGGTCAAAATAGCTTGGAGAAATCACAGTCAGTTTTAAAGAAAAAATACCTTTATCGTATTCATGTGTCATGGAACATATTTGTGATGATTGACAAAGTGCACGGGTCAGTATTCAGCGATCTCCCAAAAGGTGAAACCCACTCCAAAGACTATCAACAGTGCCTGGTGCCTGTGAAAAACCGAACGGGCCATTCGAAACGTAATACTCTAAAATGTCTTTACTGTACTTAATTTAATTCAAGGGATATGAAGCATAGGGACATTTGCAAATACGACCGCTTGAAGCCACGTTTTTTTCCTTTAGCTTTCTTCTTTTTCACTTTTACATTCTTTTATTGTATATACAAAGAAACAATTTTCAGGAAGGAGGTGGCGGTCACTCTACAGGCTGCTACACACACAATGGGGAATGTTGAGCGGTACTAGTGGTGGGATTCGAACACACGTCCTCCGGGTGATAATTTGGTCACATTACTACTAGACCACCCTCGCCCTCAGATCTAATCTCAGCAGTATATAATTGAGAATCTGTGTTGTCAATTAATTCACCTTGTTATTTCAGCCTATTTATAGGATTCCGCTTGAGACACTGAAAAATAGCCTTCATTAAACGATGCCGAAATGTATGTGAAAGTTCGCATTTAACTTACAGTTACTTTTGAGTAGTGATGTGGGATAATTGATATTTAAGGATGAGCTCTAATAAGGGCGACACTCGAGTCTGGTGCTTCCGAATGTGTAGGGTTCAATCGATGAAATGAGGATTCTGCGTGAAGATGAAGTCCGAAGGGTACTCAGTTCAAATCAATAAGTATCTGAAGGTGTCCGATGTGATTGATGGAGATCAAAAGAAAGCTCTTCTCCCAACAAATGCATCTATTGCTAACGTGCAGTGTATCATTTCATCTTATTGGTTAAAACAGAAAAAACTTTGCCACCATTGTGAAGCAAACTTCCAATTCAACCCTTGCAGAACAACTGGACTTTCTTGTAAGGTAAAGCGACTTAAAATAGCCACCCCCCTCACTCTCCTAACAAATCACTGTTCGGATCGATAATACCGTCCGAAATAGATTGCTCAATCGATCACGAATGCGCTCGCTCTCGCTCGCTCGCTTTATTGCTTTCCTAAGTTAGAACATAAAATCAAAAATGCAAGTAATGTTAAAACAGTTTGAGACGGTTTTATTGTTTCAGTATTTGCGAAATAATCCGATGCATTTTGATCGTCAGAACATCAATCGATACCCCCGGGACAGGTGGATTCAGCGATTGATTGGATAAACGGACAGCAACAATGGGAATATGTTTGCTGTTTAACAATTAAATTTAATTCCCAGAACAGAACCGGGTTGACAATAACCAGGAGCAGTATAGCCCCCTGGGGTGCAGAGTGTTGGAAAGAATGCGGATACGTTCGAAAAAGGACGGCAGAGCTTTATCCAGTGATAGAGGCTGGTCAACATTCGTGACCGATTGATCTTAGTTGTATGATATATTTTATAGAACACGATAAAGTGGACAAGACTTGTTTTCAGTGATTTATCTGCTTCCGCTAAGCTATGTAACTCTGATAGAATACGGCAGCTAAATTGCTTGTCACACTTGCATCCAGACCGGCCCCAAGGTTGCAGCTCAAAGATGAAGTTCCTGTTTCTGCGTTTACTCTTTCACTTGTTCCTGTGGAACAACATAATTCGGTCACACGGGCAGACGTTTGACTGAGAGAGTTTGGTGAGCATCATCCGGCTTGGTTGCACACTGTGATGGTAAAGTCAATTACGCAAGCACAATCTGTTCACACCTTGTTGAGTCAGATCATTTAGTTAACGTGACTATGGATTTTCTCTGCCCTCCCCCCCCACACACACACAACCGTCTGTGAGCAACAATCTAAGCGGATTAAACATCGCATCCTGGCCACAGCGGAGGCAGTGGCANCCGCCATTGAGTGCGCAAAAACAAGCTGTGTGGGCATTTTGTCTCCCATAACTCTCCTTCAACCATCCTGTTTCCACCCGCCCATTCCAATATTCGGCAAATCCGGACACACACCGGAAACAGTAGACACTATCTGCATTCTTTAATTAATTAGTTAATTATTTAATTAATTATTATCATTTTTTCTTGTTAGTAATATCTTCGCCCACCCGTATTTTATCCCAGTTATAGAGAATGGGATGAATTGGCAAACGAAGGCTAATCAATGAACGCAAATCTTCTCTGCTACATCGTGTTCTATTCAAATTGTTTGTTGATGGTCTAATTGAACTATATGTTTAATGGTCGAGGTTCTCAGTTCTCGCTTCAAATCTGGACTGATATCCAAGTAGTAATGCAAGTGATGCTCTACGCCTTTTTCACTTTAAGATGTCACAACATCAATTTTTCGTTGATCGCTATGTACTACAGTAACAGGGAAAATATTTCACTGATGGTGAAGGGAATCAACAACACTTGTGCAAAATTCTAGTCAATGCTCAGGATCACTGACACGAAGTTCTTATAGCTGAATCTCTTTGATCGGATGAAAGTTGTTTTGTTTCAATACTTTGAACACCGTATACTGTGACATGTTGCATTCCAGGGCAGTTTGCCTCATGGTCATCTGAGAATTTCGATTTACACAATGCAGCATGTTGAATATACCACATTTATCCGTCTTTGTTCGTGGATGTCCCTTGCGTTTCCGATCGTGTACACTTCCGGTAGATTTTAATTTATTTATCAGCGCCGTTTCTGGTAACCGTTATTGCACAAATGTTCTTGAATCCCTTCACTGTCAGTGAAAGATTTTCCTTTTTCCCTACGTGTATAGCATTCAATGACAAAGGATCGTCGATCGACAGACGATCAGTACGTAAGCAAGCCATACTAACAACAAACCAGAGTATAGTCGCGTAGTGTAAAAATATTCCAACTGCTACTGTTCTGAAGGCGGAAGAAAACTATCGTCCCCGTATTTGGATATGCAAGCAGCATGATGGAAAATATATTGAACAACTTTTATAAAATAAATATGCATTTTTTCATAATATGTTTACTCTCCCGGGGAATTCTATCACCGACGTACTTAGTAAGATCTTTCAACGCGAAAAAAGCAGTTGGTAAAATTCCAAGATGACCTTTGCGTTAGCGTATTTTAGAGGATATTGTAATCCGAACTTAAGTCAAGTTCAAAGTTTTATTATGATTATCCGTCTACCGAACCCGCTGATAAAAATAGTGTGTGTATCTTAGACAAGTCAAACGTTGACCCAGTGTCATCATCGCTTGAACTATTTCCATTCCTAATTTCCCACATGGCTCATCGTTCCACAACGAATTCTCCTGTGGTGATTCTCTACCAACACTTAAGAACCATCGGACTCAGAACTTAACTTCCTCCTGTGTCGGCCCGGAAATCATGCGGCCGATCGGGCAGTTCAGCTGCAACAAGGGACCTGGTGTTTGCCTAGTTAACCCAAGCGAGAAATCACACTGTCTATGACTACGAGTCTTTAGCAAGCCCACTGAACTTTGACTGTACAGCACGAGTGCCATCATCACACAAATGGACCGCGCGTCACATCACAAAAAGAACAAGACTGTGAACAGATGGAGCAATCTGACCATCGTGCTATCCACATGGCAACATGACATCTTAAATTGATATTCGGACAACTTAAATTGAAAAATTTAAAGGTCACCGTGGATCATTTTCTCTTAAAATATTCGAACTCCATCATGCCAGATGTCAAACTGTAGTTATCGCACATTGCTCTTTTCTGCTGTTATTTTTTTACTCATGAACGTGAAAAACAGACGATTTCATTAAATGGAAGCGTTTAACGAGTTTGATGTGTTCAGGAAGAGCAATCGTTTTTACTTTCTCTCTCTCTCTCGAGCGCGCGTGCATTCTAACACTTTGGGATACAGGCCATTGGTTGACCTAATGATGCTATATATTCATTGATCGATTCTCTTTAGAAAATCGTGCTACCTCCCTGAAACCCAGTTCATCGTTTTTCTCCTCGTTCTTCTTCCACCTCTGTTCGTTCGTTCCCTTAGGTATGACCGCACAATCGTGTCATCCACGCATCGGTTATGACTGTGCTCAGCTCATGTCCAATCACTACCCGGAACGTTTGGGTCAAGCAATATGCATCCTTCCGGGGCCAGTGTTCAAAGTTGCATGGCAAGCAATCAAACCGTTTCTTCCGCCGGCCACTGTGAACAAAGTCACTATGATTACTAGTAAATCTCAGCTGAAAAATGTGCTAGATAAGCACTTTTCCCCATCAATGGCCAATTGGATCTATACAGAATACAAGTTGAATCGGAAAAAGCCGATCCGGTCGCGTTATCGTTCCTTTTTCTCCCCGCCTCAAGAGGCTCAAAGTGATCACGATCCGCGAGGAGAACTGTCGTATGTACGTGATTGGATTGAATCCAAACACCCGTCCGGACATCAGCCACACCCAAATATGTCCGAATTTCTGGCTGGTAAACTGAAACATCAACTATCTAATTCCAGTTCCTTCTCCGATGCGAACGGTTTTGCCGGCGAGGATGAAGAGGAAGACGAGGCTAATGAAATCGACGAAGCAGAGGCACGAAAACTGGTGGCTTCGTTACCAGACGCGTATCAAATCCCAGCTGATGCTCAAACATTTACGTAGTATACTCTCACGCACCCACTGCCACCTCCACCCCACCCCTCACGCACACCTCTGCCCACACACCCACACACACACATGCGTGCGTGCGTGAGCGCAAATATGGGCATATTTTCACTGGCAACGACAACAACCTCCTGGGTTCTCTGAGCACCTTTTCATCTCCCTCTCTATATACCCGTTTCGGGTTTTTCGTCCTATTCCCGCCAAATTCGTTTGCTGTTCTCGTTGTTCATGCATTTGCATGAACCAGTCTGCCTAAACAGAACATTCGCGGATTTCTGGTCTGTGTGTGGCTGTGTTTGTGTACACTTATTTCGAAACGGAGACTTTTGATCAGACCGACAAATATACTCGTTTTCACCTCTCACGTTTTATTTATTCTGCTCCAAACCTTACGGAATTTATGACCAAAACAAAAGCCAACACAGAATGTCCGGTGAATGCTGTTCATTCTACCCAGGACTTCAGATTGTTCTCAGATCTATTCTGACCCTGGTTGGAGTATCAACTTTTACACAGGAATCTTTAGGTATTGGCACTCACAGTATTCGCAGTATCAGTTGATCCGAGCTGATCGATCGATTATCTTTACTTGGATTCTGATTACTTCAAAGTTAACTTTAAGCCTATTTCCGATTTTGTGTAGTAACAGTTAAATTCATTTCATCAAACTGTAGTAGCAAACACTGGTCTAGCTAAACAGACTGTAACAAACTACGGCTGCTTTCAGTGATTAGGTTTTCTCTCACCAAGGACGAGATAATGTTCGAAAGACAGTTAACTTGGCCTGTTCTCGGCTTGAAATCCAGACCAGATTTGTTGACAAGCAGGACGGGACTAACAATACAGTGAGTGATCAGAGATTTACAGGGAGAGAGAGAGTGAGTGATCCTCTCTTGTACCCTATTTGTATAAACTGTGGTCTGACAGCCAAAGCAGACGAAGCAACGGAAAACGCTTTCGTTCGCTTCATTGTGCACTTCAGTAAATGTATACGATTACGTTTTGTCAATTTTACCGTTCGTTATGCATCTATACAAACAATCGTTCAGTGAAATTTATATACAACTAATGATTAAGCTATTATTAGCAGTGCAGTAGGTGTGTCCCGGAACTTTGTTGTTTGTCCTATCAGTCGGTCTCATCAACTCCGTATCGGCTGTAACGAAACCGTCTTTGGTGAGTGCAATTCAATCGGGAGTGATAAATCTCTCCTCAAATGTTATTTTCGAGTAGTGCGCGAACAGTTAGCTGGGTTGCGACCTTGTTCAACTCATAGTATGAACTCATTGAGTTGGATCAATTAGCTGGCTTAGTGCTACGCAACCAATTCTTGCAACCCCTTTCAACTGTCTTGCGTATTCACAACAGATCCAGATTTATGTTTTGCCTTTTTACAGGTTGGTTAGACTCCTTCGAGGGGAGCGTTAATTTCCCCGTGATGGAACTCCATATGTAATGGGCCGGACCCTTGACTCAATCAACGACGGAACGAAGCATAATAAGCATTGTGAATGAGACGTACTAATTATTTAATAACTGTCTTGTGTTCACTACTGTAAAGCACGCAAAATTCCACCACACTCTAAAGAGGGAGAGAGATGTTTCCTGTAAATAAAAACATGCATACTCTGGTTCGCGCTTCCCGTAAAAGTGATTAATCGAGTTTACAAACCATAAGAATCAGCAGGAGCAGGAGTGATGGCGGTGATTAACCAAACTTTGGCCTGCTAGAACGCAGACCAACCGTTCAGTTCTCACTGTAACTGGATAATTTTCTGGATGTATTTTGCTGGTCTTTTGCACCATCGCAATCTGCAGAGCGGCTTTCTAGATCACTGAGTTTCAGAGCAGTCGGGTGCACGAAAAACAGCTACGCTGTCTCTAAACCTGACCTTCAGGTTTCTTTTTTCCTAGTACTCCTCTTATATGCTTGTGACCTAGTTCTGTAGCCGTTTACTGTCCATATGTTACACGGTTGTGACCAATGAGAGAATACAAAACGATTGTTTCTCGTCATGTCCGTCCAAATTTATCCCGAGGGAGATCAGGGATTAGGGTTATTTTTATCCGTGCGCATCTTTACACCGTGCTGTTCACCTGATGCAGCGAACACAGGCGTGTAAGGCAAAACGAAAGTTTAACCAGGGATAAATGCGTGGTCTTCACGTCTCGTTTCAACATCTGGCCACCTTACCTATACACGCTATAGCACAACCCACATTTGTGAGCTTAATGCATCATGCATCCGCTTCCTTTGCGTAAACCGACCACTTGGCAAAAATTGGCATCCACAGGTAGTGACCAAACTCGTGCATCATCCTGATTTTCACTACATTTTTTCCTCTTAATGCTTCGTTCTTCCAGTCTCATTCACGGCATTGAATATGATATTGCCCCACATCAGATGCAACATATCTGACATAGCAGCCACTTATGTCACTGCTTCTATTAGCCACATGCCATTAGAATGTACAATTTTGCGATTTCAACGATTTTTGCAAGTGCATCAGTTGTAAGATAACAAAGTCACAGTAGAAAACGTAACTGTAATTTATTTATTGAAATGACTCATAGACTTTATACAGGTATTGCACTTTCATCTCATCCATGTTTCATTTACTCTTCTTCATTTTTGAGCACTGCAGGCAGTCGATTTAGCATGGAATCCACCAAGTTGACTGTCAACCAGATTTCGCAAGTTTCCTCTAATACACCGCACACCCTTAACACCGGCGACCAGTGAAAAGGTAGCTAACTAATCCCTGTTTCTGATACAAGGAAAAAGTACCTATTAAATTAAAATCCCAGCTGTTGCGCATTAATAGAACGAACTTGACATTGAAATCGACCCCTCTAGAAACTGCATAAATGTGAAAAAAATAGTATTTATTTAGGTCCAACCGTTTTCCACTACCAAGCTCAAGCGAGCTGATATGCCAACCTTCATATGTGAAGAACATCACTTCCGCGAATGCATTTTTGGAGTGACAATTAGCAAAAGCCTCCCTTATCAGTGCAAGAAATTTCACAATGTCCATATTGGCGTATGCAGGAGACCAACAACAGTGCGCTCAATAATCACATCCCTCCCAACTAGTTAGGCGGTGTAGATATTTACTCCTTTTGACAGGTAAAAAGAAATTCATTCCAAAACTGGCTCAGTAGATTAGCTTTAACCATATGCTGAATGACTGGTTGTATTGTATTGTATTTGTAACTTGTGTAAGCATATATGCTTGCAGTTCAGTTAAAAATGTACATTGTTCGTCACGCAGAATGAAATAAAAATAATCAAAACAAACGGTAAAGAAGTTCGGTTATATACGTATCATGTGCAAAGCATTTGACGTAGTTTATTTGAGACCTGTTCCTTTTTGGTGAGTAG